TTGCGCATGACAATTCGATGTTTTTAAAAGTTTATAAATATCTGCAATGTGCGTTCAAAAGTTTAGACTGCACAATATTTTCTTGGAGTGATTTCCGAAATGAAACCATAGTTTTGAAGGACAGGTTATTGTATATGTGGGGTTTGAAAATAGTTTCTTTCTGAACATCTGTCCATTTGGTCACCCAAATTTTTTTATTGTTCTCTCCCCTGATTTTGCTAAATTTTGTTTTCAGAACAGGCTAAATGTAACAAAGACAATTCGAAAGTTTTCTATTGATTCGAATTTGAGAGCCACTGGTTCTGAGTTTCACTCCGGGGCAATGTCAGCGCTCCTTAATCATGGAGATGAAGCTGGTGAAGAATTAGTTGAAGATTCTGTATCACTTACTGGCCGCAACTTCGATACATTTTCACATCAGTAAGGAGTTTAAATCCGTATGGAAGAATACTATGAATATTTTCCTAGTTTGTACTTTTTTTTTTTGCTTCTGATGACAACCTATGAATCATACATTCTGCAGATTTCCAATCTTGGTTGTTAATTTCTATGCTCCGTGGTGCTATTGGTGTAATCTCCTGGTAAATCCTGTATCTTGTGTCATTGTCTCATATATATTCTAGATGTTACAGAATATTTTGCATCCAGAACCACATTTTGCTGTCTGTGGGTAAAGGGTCATATTAGTGTTCTTATTAGACGGGATCCTACATGTTTGTGCCTAAGTTGCGCTTGTAGTGCAATTACTGTAACTTATCTAAGGATCAACTTGATGTCGTCATGTCAAATATCAAACTTATAAAGTAGAGTACTTTTTGGTGGCACTTTATTGCTGATCTTGCGTGAAGACTAAAATTTTAGTCTCCTTTGTCAGAAACCATCATGGGAGAAAGCAGCAAAACAAATAAAAGAGAGGTGTGAAGTTATACCCTCTTTAGATAAAAAATCTGTGATACTATTTTTCCTTATAACTTTCTTGCTTTTGATAGATATGATCCAGAGATGGACGGACGTGTTATTTTGGCAAAAGTTGACTGCACCCAAGAAGGTGATCTCTGTCGGAGGTAATCAGACTTGATCTCGTTTTCCAATTTGACTACTTAAGCTATGAAACTTTATTTATTTCTCCAGTAGTGCAAAAAGAATATCCATAGCTTCTTAAGCGTGTATAATATTTTACCAAGAAGAGTTATTAGACTCCTTTACACCAACTACGTCATTTGACTGTATGCAAAAAGTGGAATAAATTGACTTCGGGAGCATGGTCTAGTATGAGCCAGTAATGCATTGGCGGCTCATTTGGGATATCCGAGATGTCTTTAACTCCTCTGTAATTAGCTAAGATGCATTTTCTATTCGTAACTAGAGGGAGGGATAGTTATTATTTATTTTTTGGTTTTGGCCACGTTATAGTCAGTTACTTTATAAGTTTATTGGCTTCTTTAAAAGGATTTTTGATTTGTAAAATATTACACTCACCTCTGCATAAGAAAGTTATGGTGTGAAGCAAAGAAAAACATACCATACATATGTTAAGGACTTCATTTAGGATTGCATTTGCTATAGCTTAATGCATTCTCTGTAATCATTTACCAGCTTTAAGGATAATTTATGATCATACTTTTCCTCTGCAAATAATCTCCAGGAATCACATACAAGGGTATCCATCCATTCGCATTTTCCGCAAAGGCAGTGATCTCAAGTAAGTAAGAGAACGTGACTTCTAGTTTACTTGTTCATTAATGAAGGACTATCATTTGCTTGATTCTCCTAAACTCTATTTTCTCTACTTATCTATCCCCTGCTTGATTCTCTTGCTTAATAGAGACGACAATGCTCATGAGCATGAATCCTACTATGGAGATCGTGATACAGAGAGCTTAGTGAAGGTAGTTGATCTTTTAGGTTTCTTTTCAACATGTTTTCCGTGCCCCTTAGAAAAGTTGTAGACAAGAGTTGCTCTTGCGACTCATTTGTAGTTTATTTCTGAATATTTTGAGTTCTCCTATAGATGGTGGTAGGTGTGGTTGAAACAGTCCATCTAGAGCCCCAAAAACTAGCATTGGAGGACAAATCAGACAATGCAACGAAAACTTTAAAAAAGGCACCTTCTACAGGTGGATGTCGAATTGAAGGATACATGCGTGTAAAGAAGGTAAGCATTTGATTGGGAGAAATTACTCTTGCTTTGTCTCTTTGCTTTTAAATTCACTTTAAAACTGAATAGTTACTTTCCTACGGTCTTTGCAGGTTCCAGGCAACCTAATGGTTTCAGCTAGCTCGGGATCTCATTCATTTGATTCTTCTCAGATGAATATGTCCCATGTTGTTAACCATCTTTCATTTGGGAGGAGGATTTTGCCTCAGACATTTGCAGATTTAAAACGGTTATCACCGTATCTCGGTCGAAACCACGACCGTTTGGACGGCCGTCCCTTCATAAACCAACGTGATCTCGGCCCTAATGTTACCGTAAGTTTCTTTAGCTCAGAAAAAAAAAAAAATACTATTTAGTCATCTAATTATGTTTTACGGTGTTTTCCGTTGACAGATCGAGCATTATCTTCAAGTAGTAAAGACAGAGGTAGTAAAAAGCAATGGACAGGCATTGATTGAGGAGTACGAGTACACAGCGCATAGCAGCGTTGCTCATAGTTACTATTTACCAGTCGCCAAGTTCCACTTCGAGCTCTCACCGATGCAGGTAGGCTACAACCTCTGTCCACTAAAGCCTAGATTACAGGAACATCAAACCCTTGGTACACTCTGCTCATCTTCTTCTTTTTCTGTTTGCAGGTTCTCATAACTGAAAACTCCAAATCCTTTTCTCACTTCATCACCAACGTATGCGCCATTATCGGTGGTGTCTTCACGGTAAGTAAAGAAATTAGAAGCCTCTTCTTCTTATAATTCGTTAATGCATTTGTATGAATTGTGTTTCTTCTTATCCTTTTTCAGGTTGCTGGAATCTTGGATTCTATTCTCCACCAGACGATGACATTGATGAAAAAGATTGAACTTGGTAAAAACTTTTGAAGCTTTCATTAAGGGTTTCATGTCGTTTGTTATGTAACGAGTCAGAATTTTGTTGTTATATTTACACACACCAGATGAGACCAAATAATCCATAAGAACACACCGTGAGACAACCACCGTTTGTTATTAGGAGGTCACTGTCGTCGCCCAGACAGATCACGGATAATTTCTCTCTACTTTTCGCTTCAGTTGAGAAAATCGGACATTCATGGGATAAATAAAGAAATCCGAGCAACATGATAGTGAAAGAATAAGAATACCTTAACTTTATTTTACGGTTTAAAGTATAAATTGCAATGATCACATTTTAACTCTCTTAAAATCACAAGTTCATGGTTGGATTTAAGGAGTTACATCCGCTTGTAATTGAATTGATAAGAGCTGAAATCTTGATTGAATGAGTAAGAGAATTACAAGACAAATCCTCACACTCACAAAGAAACTAGCTACGATCTCCGTATGATCTAGCTCCCACAGTTACAAAAGTCTGCAAAAAACAAACACTGTGACGTTTACGATCCATGGTTAATACAAAAGTTCCCAAAATATCATTGCACATCGTCAATACGCATATGCACAACTGAACGCCGAAACAAAAGCAGTGAATCAGAGGTTAAAAAGAAAGAGAGAAAGACGGATTTATCACTTGTAGATAACAACATCACACATCTAACAAAGCATACCAAGAAAGTTTTTATGCGCAGAACCCACACCTCTTCATTTCTTCGATCAATTCAACTGACTTAATTACATCACAACCTCGGAGATGTGCCCTGATGAGTGTGTTGTATGTACCACTGTTTGGCGCATACCCATCCGCAGTCATTTTTCTAAACAGCATTTCTGCTTTAGACAGCGGGCCTTTTTGACAAAACCCCATCATCATCACATTGTATGTTTTGACATCGGCCTTCACTCCTTTGAGAGGGAGGCTACAAAACAGATCCCATGCCTCTTCCACCTTATGAATGATGATATTATAGATACCAACATCAAAATCCTCTCAAATATTTCCAATGCTTTTTCTAGCTCTCTGTTGTCACACAACCCATCCAGCAAAATTTTGTAGGTGACAATAGGAGGATGAGCACCTCGAGAAACCATCTCTTGGAAGAGTTCTTGGGCAACCTTCAGTTTTCCCGATTGACAAAACCCTTGGATGAGAGTGTTATAAGTGAATGCATCTGCAACCAGTCCTCTCTGAGAAATCTCACGGAAAAGTTTCATACCATCATCAACTCTCATCTTTGCAGTATCTATTAATGAGAATATTGTAAGTCACAATATCCCTTGCTAACCAAAGAATTATATGTAATATAACAGTAGGAGATATATACCTCGTTGGATCAGCTCATTGTACAATTCTTTAGCCTCTAGAAGCTTCCCTTCTTTCACAAAACTATCAATCAATGCATTGAATGTGACGATGTCATATCCCTCAACAACTGTGCACCATCATTCCATCTACCGGTGTTGCAGAAGCCTCCAATGAGAGAGTTGTAGGTAAAAACATCTGCTTTCATTGAAAAGGTTGAGTGCGTTGTCCACTCTCCCATCTTTGCAAAGACCATCGGAAATGATATTGTATTGGACTACTCCGACCTTGATCTTTCTTTCTTCCATATGTTTGAACAAATCCAAGGCCAGGGCAGTTTTCCCTGACTTTTGCACATTATACGTAAAACTGGTCCATAGGTAACTGCATCCGGTTGACAGCCAAATTCCACCGATTCGATCTACCGCGTCAGACGCTTTACCCTCAAGACAAAGTCCATTGATCAGAGTGCTAAGCATTATGAGATCGGGTTTGTCTCATTTCTACCATCCGAGCAACTAGCGCTACAGCTTCAGAAACTCTACCCTGGAGACATAATCCGTGAATCAAAGTTGAAAATGTCAGGCTCATACCCAAGTTTCACTATCTTTCCCATAACTGAAAAAGCAAAACAGAGTTTCTGGCGCCGGCAGAAACAATTGATCGTAATATTAAGAGTGTAGAGGTCATACGCAATACCCTTCAATCCTCCCATTTGCTTAAAACAAGATCGTACTGTTTTGTTTTGGCAATGGCACCAAACAACCTATTGAGATCTCTGACACTAGGAAGAGGACGAGAGACATAACCATGGATTGGAAGAGATCAACAGCATAAGAATTTTCTCTGAGTAGAAAAACAGAACCGGGTTCAAAGTCTCCAACAAAAAAGTAAACCTGTAAAACAAAACCGTATACAACAACGTGTTCGTCGAAATACCGCAAAGAACTTGCGCACGTTTATTCCTTTGCTATTATACTGTTCTTGTGATGTACGAAAATTACCTAACAATCCGAACTGCTAACTTTGTAACAAATTCATAACAAAAGTTTTCTCTACAAACGAAGCTCTAACTACTTTAAAGCTCAATATTGACCCTTTTTTTTTTCCTTCAAAGTCGTCAAAGAAAATTTATAACTCATTTTACAGCAACAGTTAAAAAAGCAAATAAACAATAAAATCAAAGTCATTGATTTCTTTTTTTTTTATCAGATGTCCCCGACGGGGCAAGAAATTGTTATCATTTCAACAAGGGAACTTCCTTGCACATTTCTCTGAAGTTCCAAAATCAAGAAGAAAACCAGCAATAGTAAAATAAAAGACGTAATATGAAAGCAAATGGACCTACGAGAAATAGAAGTAAGATCAAATAACAAACTAAAGTTTTCCAAACAAGGTTTAAAACTTGAAACTAGCATCCACGATTGTTTAGAAGACAAATGATACTGAGACTTGCAGCAAAAACACTAATTACCAATCC